GGGGGGGGGGGATAGAAGACTGTGATCCTTCTCTTCTTGGTTTCCTAGATCATCCAATTGATCCTCATGTCCTTGTGAGAAAATATTCATACCACTAGCCTAACTACCCTGTAACAATATCAGATGTATGCATTACCATATGTTAAACATTATCAGCAATTATTATATCACCATGAAATGATAATTGCCTTTTCTTCCAATTAGGAATGAAAATGAACTAGTGCTAACAGCTGGTAGATATTTCATTCAGCCTAAAAAAGTTAAAATAGGCAATAAGCATTATATATAATAATTCTTTCAAGATGACCATGTCCCAACCTTTTAAGAGATCCACTTGATATAAAATATATTTTTTTAGTTTTAACTGCCTACTAAATGACTGAGATAGAAAGAATCCACCCCCCTCCTCTATTGTAAAGAAAAAAATAATAATATAAAAAAAACTGACAAATTAAGTGAGTGGGTGAAGGGCTGTGGCCAATTCATGTTGAGAACATAAAAAAACAGGGGACAAATAGAAATAAGCACCTTTTTTGGAAATGCATACAAACAGCTACAATGAGGAAGATCATGAAAACCCTTTGTCTGCGCAACCACATGTTACCAAGGCAACAGATGTGACTATCTGGGAAAAGACAAAGAGCTAACAAGGTCAGTTCTTTATAAATTCAATTTTTTTTCCTATTAACATTTATTAATGAGCAATCATTAGGGTTCATCAAACACGCAATTATCTCATCAAAAGATTTTGATTACTTTTAGTCACAGATTTGTTGGAATCAAATCCTTAAATTACATCAGTTCTCCATATTACTCTTTCCATCTTTCATTCTCACTAGAATCCTTCACAAGAAATGTCTCACTTTTTCCTTACTCAGTTCTTCAATACCAAACAATAATGCTTCTCTCTTGGCTAGTTGGAATGTTTTTTTTTAGTTCCAAATATGGATTTCAATGTTTCAATCCAGACTTTTGTCTTATTTGTACCCTATATTCATTTCAGCAAAGTATCCACATTTTTTTTTTTTTAAGGGTGGTTTCAACAGCAAAGACACAATATGCATTCCACTTACTGCTACTTATTAAACTTTGATCTATTTATCTTAACTTTTTACTTACTGATATATTTAAAATAATGTTCTCATTAATAAACCACTAATGCTCATTTTTCTTTTATACTTAACGGGTGCTTTTAGGAACCAAACCTCAAATGGGACTGCACTAAAAGCTGATTGCATCCAGCCACAATCATGGCAGGCACTGGCACAACTAACGCATTCCAGCACCTCCAACAACATTTTATTACCAACACCAAGCAATTATTTGTAAATACTGCAAACTGTGGATTTTTGTAGTTTTAGCTGATTATGGCACTTTTTTAAATGTGTCATACAGACTGTTATGTACTGAAACTAACAGTCATAATTTGTCGAACATTAAGGATGCAATGTGTAGTTAATCCTTCAAATTTAGCATCAAGAAGAAGGACGTGGCTTATCCACCCCTACGAAGGTATCTTATCACGTAAGTTTGCACAGATAATTTTAATCGGTGGTTAATCACATGTTGCCCTATTGAAGTGCATTTCATGGAACAATTCCAATACAGAATACTAAATAAAACTGTGATTATTATTCTTTTTTGTCATTGACAGCATCATGCTTTGTCAAAGTTCACCTATAAATATGATACAATTCTGGAGATTGAATATCAATTATCTATAGAACAGATTACGATGTTGGGTAACTTTTGTATGCTTAGCCTTACTGTGCACTGTGAATCCCATTAACATGTGAACTTTTAACTACATATTTTTCTGTTATTAATAATCATACGTTCAATCATTATTTTGAAAATCCACATATTACCACTTTAAATGAACATTTTGAATCACAGCACACCATCTTTTACATTTTAATAAAGTATATAATAACTTTTTTTGTTAATGTTTGACCTTTCCAAAAGCAAATGAAGATGACTCACTGAGCAGTAATCTTTGACCTGGATCTTATAACCATCAGTTCATGCCTTAACTCTGACTATAATTGTCAGTCAGAAATGCAGACAGAACACATGCTGTGGATTCACTTTATCTCTCTATGCCTGATATTCTGCACAGAGCTTTTAACTTACACCCTAAACATGATATCCTATTCAACTGAAGTCCCAACAGAAGTCTCAACAGACAGTGAGTCATTTTACTTTCAGAGCCACTAAAGCTTCATATTCAGTGACAAATTCTTTTGTCCCCTGAATATGAGATAATATGCCATTTTTGAACAAAGAAAAAAAGAGTTGATGATGCCACAGCAAATTCATGCTTCAAATTTCATGTGCATCATTACAAATTTGTCATCACACGTACTCCCACACTTCCCTGTAAAAGTCCTATTCTGTAACCATAAACCTTCTGTCACTATTTCACAACACCATCATTAAGTCTATGGTTTTAGAGTTACATTTCCATGTACTGGTTCCTTTTGTTATATATTTTGTATATATTTGTTATATATTTAATATATATTTGTTCTCTGTGATAGAGTAAAATTTTGAAAATTTAGTTGGTCTTGAAAATTTTGTCGGAAAATTTCATCAAACTTGAACATTTTGGGCATTTTAAAATATTAATCAATTTTTAAGTGACAAAATTTTCAAGCTTTTGCCATATAGCAACATTTGTGGGGGTTGTTACAGAAGATAAATACGCGGACTTACCTTTGGCATTTCAGGCAACTCCCATGCCGACTCGGAGCCATCTTCTTTGTAGTAATATGTCCTCCCTTGGTCGTCTTGGGAACACAGCCACTAAAAAGATACAAATTAACAGTTAAACACAATTTACTTTGGTTGGATGTCAAATTGAAGCATTAATCTGGATATTTAAGGTATAACATCGAAATGTCAGCTTGTCCCAAATTCATATTTTCTGTATCTATATATCCTGCTAACAGCTAATTATCTTTCCCAATTCAGAAACTAAAAACAAAACAACCCCCCAATTAAAGGTACTGTGTATCAATATTTCCTGATGAAATGCAGCCAGAAGGACGTGGCAGTCTTAAAGTTGTGGGAAGCATTTGGAACTACATTACTTAATCAAAAATGGTACAAAATGTCAGATCCAAGTCAAAGAACAAGTTTAGCACTGATGAAAATTACTTTGGAAAAAAATTGAAAGTTTTGGCACACTTTAAACAGGATTCTATGTAGAAAATTATGAATCCAAAGTGCTAGTGGCATCAGATGGTCTCAAAAAAAAAAAAAAACTCTTGAATATAAATTCCATTACATTTCTCAGAAGCTCCTTTGATTTCATTTTTGCAAAATCATTTAAATTTGATAAACCAAAACAAATACCTTTTCCCCAAGACCGTCATTCACAAAAGTCACCTCTCCGCCATCATTTACTTCCTGTTTCCAACCTCGCGGAAGACTGGCACTTTTAGAGGAGAGAGTCGAAGGTCTCAATGGACTAATACTGGGGCTGTGAGGGGAAACTGGACTCGCCTGTAGAGGATTTAAGGCATGACAATAATATTCTTGAACTTCTCATATGATATCTGCTCATTTTGCTCATATAAATTACCTGACTTTAAAATTTTCTTTCAAAAAAATAATTATCTCATTAACATCACAGAAAATTTTTCACATCCTTTTTTCATGATAATGGTACATAAAAATGGAAACAATGAGAATATATATTGACATAATGTAAGTTAAACAATGTGTCCTGTTTATACACATAACACAAATTTATTTGAGGTTTACAAGAAAATTTCAAAATAGTATAATAAGTGTATTGTGACAGACAAATATACAACTACATGTGGCAATATATTCAAAAGCATAATAATATAATGACATAAAATATAACACAACAAAAATGTTAATAACAGATGTAGAATAACAAATAAAGCCTAACCACTGCCCATACATATCAAGACAAAACAATCTGCAATACCCTAAACCCTGTAAGTACAAACCAATAATTCTAAAGGCTATATTACCTGGGGAAAAATAAGACATGAAGACCAAACTTACTTAACCTCTTTAAGATAAAAATAAGTATAGTTTACCATAACATCTCAATTCAGGAAAATAAATCTAAATTCTCATTAGACATAGTATTAGTTGAAGCAAAGAAGCAGAATTGACGTCAACATTCATATAAAATTTCAGATAATGATGCTTCTTCATCAGGCAGGCAAAGATTATTGACTAAATTAGTTTTGTGAGTTAGTGGTAAGATTAACATATTAAAATCACTAAGGTGCTACTGTGCATGCATTTTAAGATATTCTTGTCCATTATTATATAGCTGAAAAAAAAAAGTCTAGACAACATGAACTCTCAGTCTCTCTCTTGCTGTGTGTGTGTGTGTGTGTGTGTGTGTGTGTGTGTGTGTGTGTGCACGCACGTGCGATTATCTTGCACTTGGCTCTGGACATTCACGTATGTGTATAAACTGAAGTGTATTTAATGCTGCTTTAATACTGGTCTTTAAAACAAAGGCATCATGGGTGCTTCCCTAGTTCCAAAGTGTTTTACAATCGACAGAAATATTTTCAGGTATTTTGGTAGATCTGAGGTTAAAAATGGAATGAAGAAGATGGCAGAGTAGTGTGTGTGTGTGTGTGTGTGTGTGTGTGTGAGTTATGTCATTATCTTATTATGCTAGCTATTAAAATTGTTAGTCAAATGTACCAAACAGATAACCCTATTCAGCATATAATCAATATGGCCATGCATATTCCAGTTAGTCATCATGCTGCACAGTGCACAATATGCAAGTGTTAATACCAATAAACATGCAAATGCCCCCCCCCCCTTGCATCTACTCTCATTCCCCCTGCTTGGTGTATATTTGCGCCAGATTCAATGTGCCTGCACTGACATGCACACAAGCAGGTGTACGCAATCATATGCATGGGCGTAACTAGGCATACGCACGGATGCACTGTGCGTACAATTTTTTGGCCAACCATGATATTATTTCATATAAATTTAGTGTATTTTTCACGGAATATAAAGAAATCCTCTGCTTATTAAAGTCACCTGTATGAACAAAACCTCTGTATCAATTGTATAGGCACAATTGTTCT